CTCTGAGGCACCACGTATTCGTGCGTGGGCATCTACAAGAATGGACGAGTAGAGATTATTCCTAACGATCAAGGCAATCGTATCACGCCCTCTTACGTGGCCTTCACCGACGACGAGCGTCTGATCGGAGAGGCGGCGAAGAATCAGGCCACCATCAATCCTACGCAGACCCTCTTCGATGTGAAGCGCCTCATCGGCCGCCGCTTTAAGGACTCCACGGTGCAGAAGGACATTAAGCTCCTTCCATACAAGATCGTGGACAAGAGCACCAAGCCCATGATCGCTGTGAAAGTGAAGGGTGAGGAGAAGGTCATGGCTCCAGAAGAGGTGTCCTCCATGGTGCTCACCAAGATGAAGGCATCTAGGCAGAGATTAGGCTACTGCTTGTAGGACTGACAGATGCCGGGATTTAGATGACGCTTTCTGTCGCAATGTGCTGAAGGAGACTGCCGAGAACTACTTGGGCAAGGAGGTCAAGCATGCCGTCGTGACGGTGCCCGCCTATTTCAACGATGCACAGCGACAGTCCACGAAGGATGCAGGCCATATTTGCAGGGCTTCGGCTTGAAGCACTTGCAGGTTTTGGATGCTTTTGGTGGGTTTGGGTGATAAGGGTATGGGAAGTGGCCACTGGTTTGTGCAGGCACAATTGCTGGCCTCAATGTCCTCCGTATCATCAACGAGCCCACGGCCGCAGCCATCGCATACGGCCTGGACAAGAAGACCGAGAAGAACATCCTTGTGTACGATCTTGGCGGTGGAACCTTCGATGTCTCCCTCCTCACCATTGACAACGGCGTGTTTGAGGTGGTGGCCACCAACGGCGACACCCACTTGGGTGGAGAGGACTTCGACCAGCGTGTGATGCAGCACTTCATGAAGATCTTCGAGAAGAAGCATGGCAAGGACATGACCAAGGACAAGCGTTCTATCCAGAAGCTGCGCAGGGAGGTGGAGAAGACCAAGCGAGCCCTTAGCTCCACTCACCAGGCGCGCCTGGAGATTGAGGCCCTCTACGATGGTGTCGACTTCTCTGAGACCCTGACCCGCGCTCGCTTCGAGGAGGGGCTGCAAACAGCTTTCGTCCTGTCAGCCCTAGCCGCCTCCAGCTCCCTGCCAGGAGCTGAACGCCGACCTCTTCAAGAACAC